TTATTTTTTAAATCCAGCTAACGTAAAAGAGCCATAGCTACCCTTCTATAAATTTACTTAACATATTGTATTATAAAGTCCATAGTAAAATTAATTAAAACCCCCTTATTAACCAAAAACCTAACAATATTTGGATAAGAACAGCCTGAATACACAAAATCCTAACGTGAAAAGTTAACATATCATTTGTATTATTCCTTTAATAAAACGAACTTTACATAATATTATGTAAGGATTATAATTCTTTGTTAAACAAAATCACGAAGATGTACTTCAACTTTTAATTTAAAAATTATTGCCAATATTTTCAACATATTTTGTGATTATAGATATAGCAATATTCGTAAATCAAAGTACTAGTGTTAACGGTTTTGAACTGATTTGACGTTGACGCTGTCAGTTTATAAGCCCTGTGTCATATAATGACAATGACATCTGACAGTAACGCCATTGCTCCGACTCCACCTCTGTATACGTCACCTGCGTAGATCTGTTTGTTTACGTTTAAATTAGGTATAGTAAATATTTTTAGTTAAACAATTTATTGCGTATCTTACCTATTACATTAGAGCTCGTTTTGCTAGAACTCGAACTCTGCTTTGATTATAAACTACAAGTATTACTTCTCTTTTAAGAAAGATCTTAACTTTGATAAAACCTATCTAAGCCATGCAATGTTTAATAAATTAAAATCTCAGAAAATAAAAATTATCTCAACTTTTTACCAAATATAAAGTTTCTCAGCAATTTTGATACAATATTGCTCCCGTTTTTCTCACACTAGAAAGATAAACATAAATTCACGGTATTCTGAAATATTCTTCATAAAACGGCTGCTTTGAGTGATCGTAGCAAAAAGTTCAAAAGAACGTTATAAAACTTTTAAATAGAATGTGCTACCTATAATACTATTTGTGTTCTATCCTTGGGTAGAATTTCCTAAGTGTTAACGTAGTGGATGAAACGGGTGACTCTTAACCCTGAGGTTGTGCCTACAAATCACGGCTGTGCACAATAAACTTTTACTTGCTCCTACGCTAAAATCAGACATCGTGAAGTAACCGGAACGTCAGGTCCAAAAATCGGCAGTATATGTTAGACCTAAAAGGCTGATTAACGACCTACTTGTCTACATAAAAAAAACAAAGAAACGAGCAATGCAATCTGAGGCCAAAACCTATAATAGGGCTACCACAACTCTCGATTTAATTATTGGATAAACGTATACTTGCTTGAATCTTTATTTACAGTACCGTTAACCATCCAAATATGTATAATGATGAATAAAATTAATTACAAGTTTTATACTCATATACAGGCTTTTATGGTCGGTGATCGATACCGTCCTTTAAAGATATCAATCAATCATTGCGCCTCCAATATACTTTTGCAATATTTTGTTACCAATATATTAGCGTATCGGGAACTAAAAAATAATTACGATCGTTTTCGAATACTTTATATTGAAACTACCATATCGAAAAGTTGAGTACTGCTACCAACGATAAACATTTTAACTATTATGGATTCGTACGTATATATAACAAAACTTTACGTATTATATACAAAAATATTATTGTGTTTGAATACGTCAGTCAAAATATTAAAATTTACGCAAGTTCTACGCAATAAAACCGCTCTGGGATCATAATAGCGTCATTAAAGCGATATATGCTATCTAGCGCTCACAGCTACAAGTTACAACACTGACTAACCACACGAATGACATCGCTTTATTGCTGATTGCTGCGTAATTGTTAAAATTATTCAAGTTGACGTATTTGTTTTTATAGCTGATGCTTTATCTGACTTTATCAGATCAAAATAAATTTGTTATTATTAATGCCAATATTTGTATCACAATTTAAATTTTTACGAATAAGGATGTCTAAAAAAGTGGCCATTTTGAATCGATTTTATATTTTATCTGTAAATAATGACTTATTAGGGGGCCTCATAGCCTAGCGGTCTTATTAAGTGGCGGCTAGGTGTGGGGTACCGGGTTCTATTCCCGGTTCGAGGGCAAGTTTTAATTTAATTTAAATTTGTTCTCGGCCTTTGGGAGGGTTGTGCGGTACCGGGCGATTGCTTAAACCGTACATGGAGGACATGGTCGAATTTCTAAGGCAAGCACGTATTATAAAAATCTCATAGGTACTTGACGCTGGCTAATGCACAAACCGTGCCTGAGCCATAAAGGAAAAAAAATGACTTATCAATTTCATTTAAAAATTGACAGGGTGGTCATGACCCACTGCACCCGCCCTCAATTACGCAAAGGGCATACAACGCAATATGGATTCAATATAGTAATGCGTTACCAATGTTTCCGCGGCTGTCCCGCTTTTGTAGTGTCGTAGCATTGTTTGCTGACGTAAAAAGACTATCCATTAGCAGAACTCGAGCTGGTAGCAACAGTATTTTAAGTGCTATTGTAAAACTAGCTAAATTCTATTGCGATGAGAAGTCATCCAAAGAACATCAAGTCACCTGTCAGGAAATTTATGACTAATGTTATTTTTAAGTTACTATTTACTTATCTATATTTATTTTGACTTAGAGTTGAAAATACCGTATAATGGCTGACTGAAAGTAAACCAAATAAATATCAGATATTACATTTGTATGTGCTGTCATTTTGTGCACAAAAAATTTCGTAGAACATCACAAAACATAATTGAGACAAATAAAATTTTATAGAGATGAATTGATTAAATATCATATTTTTTATAGATACATGCAAATTCATGGATTTTGCATCTTCTAGAAATAACCGTTTGTGATTGTTTGTGTCTACCTTTAAATATAATCAAAATATTATTAAACGAAGGCCAAACCTAAAATTATTAACGAAAATATATGAATAGTTGTAGTTACAAAGATAAGAAATATTATTCAAATAGCGAGTTTGTTAACCCGTCCTTAGTTTACTTTAATGATTATTTATAATGTTATTGACCATACTTATAATTTAGAATGTGCGTTATATAAGTAGTAAGTTCTCTGTCGGCCCCAGGTGCTTACTTGTTACACATATATAGTAAAGTGTACATGCGCAATGACACAAGTTTACTCCACATTGAGTCTATTCCATAACTCTCATACTTCGATCCATCCGCCTCGGATGTCCTACACGAAAGCAGTACTTACTACGAAGCAGGCAATGGCGTATTTTTTTAGCTCCACCCAGAATTGGATCCCAGACTTCATGACTAAACCCTAGAGTCTAGGGTCAAAGGCCTAACCCCACAAAGAAGTTTAAAATGCAAGCAGGTAACAGAAAAATAGAACGGTACCGGTACTTTTATCAAAACATTTTCTTCCTTAAAACCAAATAAAACGAATGAATACAAATGAAAACGAATGCAAAAATGTTAAATGGATCGTATGAATGCAATTATGGTTGTGAATGGGTCGATTATTCCGACCACAGACCGCAGAGCCCTCTGCGATTAACCGGGATACTCATCATGCCAATGGACTACCAAATCGTTTTTTAATGCGACCATAATTTACTAACGCATATTTTATACCTATCATAGTTGGTAGGTTATTGAAATACCTGGAAAATGTATGGATATAATGATATCGCGGCTGCATCTAAATTTAGTCGCGTTAAAACGAAGGGTAACGAAGGTGAGCAAGAACATTATTGAAAAGCTATAATAAATGTAAGCTATAAAATAAATTAGATCTTGGCCTCAGATTTCTGAATCTGTTTTATGTTCATTTTTAAATCTAATAGGCAAGTAGGTGATCATCCTCCAGTGCCTGAAACACGCCGTCGACTTTATGGGTCTAAGACATGTCGGTTTCCTCACGATGTTTTCCTTCACCGTTCGAGCAAATACAAACAAAGTCCATTGGTGCACAGCCGGGGATCGAACCTACGTCCTCAGGTATGAGAGTCGCATACTGAAGCCACTAGGCCAACACTGCTCTAAAGTAAGCTATGCTAAAACATAAAAACTGAAACAAGTTCAAACATTATTATACTCCATTAGTACTTATATAAATAAAAAAAACAAAAGCGCTACAATCTGTACGTGTAATTATTACGTAAATTTTGTTTGAAATGCCTTAACACTATGCCAAAAGAAACACGTTAAAGACGCATAGTTCGCAGTTTCACTGCTTATGTTTAGAAAAGTGATCAGCCTTCTATGCCTACCATTTAAAAACAATTATTGTTTGGTCAAAACCGCTCAAACGAGAGGGATATGACAAATTTATTCAATATTTATAGGACATTTAACAGAGTTTATATGTGACACTTAAGGTGTGCCAGGTTCCATATACCTGAACAACTAAATGAAAATGTATTCAACAAGTTCGGTAGTAAGATAATATTATCTGTGGTTTGTTGTTATTAATACATTTTAATTGTTGGTGTTACTAAAGGTTGGCTGTCAGTCCCATATCGAACATTGTTTGTGGTATTCTGTTTATTAATATACTTAGTATCTGATTGTTGACAACAAACAAAGGCAAAAGACCTGCACTGTTGTACAGCCTGCCACGTTGTACAGCACATTTCTTCCTTCTACAAACACGCCTTTCTTATCCATCATAATTAGCTAAAGTCAGCGATTCTGTGATGCGCACATGTACACAGGTATGCAACTCTCCGTTGTTTTCTGTCATTATGTCAAATTTTGTTTTAAGAAACAAGAACAACAAACGACGGGTGTTCACTGGTACGAGTTTTGAAGACTTTGATTAGACTTTTTTAAATTATAAAGTAGAAAATATGCATTGAGTTGTGTTTATGATTGGTAAAAGAAATATAAACAAGTAAATAAAGTTAGTATTTTTTATTTTACATCACTTATATATTAAATTGTCATAATAAATAACATTGAAACACTATTATAAAACACATCAAAAATACTGTACTACTCAAGTACTCTCGTTAATATCTTACAATCCTTACACACAATATAGATTGAACATCTTTCACACTATACCATAACAGACCATATCACAACAAAATAAGTTTT